GACGTAGGAAAATGATATATATAGGTGTCTATGGCTACGAGCCGTAAACTTGAAAAGTTCCCCGAACGCAGTGACGTCGATTCCTCGGTAAAGCTCAGAGGGGCATTTATTCGCAAACAATTAATCTGCGTGGCAGCTAACCGGACGGAAGAGAGGGGGCTGAGGAAATTGATAAAATCAGACTAAAGCGTTTAGTGTTTTCCATGTAAAAAAAAAAAAAAAAGAAAAAAAAAAAAGAAATAACGTGCAATTAGGGAGCGTCCGTAATAATATTTCCGTGAAACACGCGAATCTCGGCACGCCATTTCATCACCTATAGTCGGCTCCCTAGACTCCTTAGAGGCTTATACGGACGAGCCAGTTCACCGGCGAACAGGCCGTGCCAGAATAACCGGTTTTAATAATTCAGCGGGAATTTCGAAAACGATGCTCCGACAGTCTGTTAAACCGGAGACGGCTGTCTGCACGTGTTCGGTACGTATCCACTGCTCGCAATTTAGGTCGACTGACAGAAAGGCGCCCCCGTGACAGGATCCCAGGGTAACCGCTTTGGCATTCCTCTCGCCCCCTAAAAAAAAGAGGCTGAGCCAACCTTAAGAGGAGAGTAAGGAGAGACGCTCGGACACGGATAGAATGGTGGGCAGACTGTCGCACAGTCGGATGGACCGACCGACGTACATACGTAGCAACTAGAGACAGGTAGACAGACACACACGTGACCAGAGCGACAAATGCCACGGACGTCCCCCATATCCCCTGCAGACCAGTCTGCATCTCCGAGGGTGCCTTTGTATTCCGTACTGTGCTTTCAATTTTTCAGGTACGCTAGAACTTCCTAACTGAGTTCTATTGGTCGCTTCAGGCTCTAAGTTATATTCGAGCCAGTCCCGTACAGAGTACACTATTAAGAAAAGTTCTATTGTTGGAACGCGAATATTTTCCTACCGCGAACCACTAGTGGAATTGCGCTATCCACGACAATTCCCTTCTCTGTGTCATTCTCTCTCTCTCTCTCTCTCTCTCTCTCTCTCTCTCTCTCTCTCTCTCTCTCTCGGCATGCACTTACGGCTGAGAAAAAGGGAAGATGTCCCATCGCCATTCCATGTAGGTAAGTCGGTACACCGAAGGGGCTACGTGCTACGTATCTTCGTGATATTAGGAAGATAAGTTTATTCATGCCGCAGACTCGTCAAAATATAGCCAGGAAATTATTACAGGAAATGCGGATAAAATTATGTAATCAAGGGATACGCGGATTTTATATAACGAATGTATTTACGATTGTCGATGGAATTTTGAGTCGATCTATATACATACGCATGTACAGTAAAGAGGGGGCTGCTCGGTATAACAACGTAGATCCATGTCAGTTTTCGTGTCTCTTTTTTTTTTTGCCAAACCATAAGGCTCGCGGACCTTATGTCAATTTATCTTTACGGTTGAATAGACGCGGGTTAAGGTTATTTTTAGGGGGATGTTTCTTCTCCTGGCTCTATCTATCAAAAGCATCGGATGTTTTCGAGGGCAAAGACTTCTCGAGAGATTACCCGCGAAAATGGCAGAGACGCTTATAGAAAAGGAACACGCCGATACACAATGAGAATCGCATGATTCGTGCTTCGCTCGGAAGCTGCTCGAGACTGGTTTGATAAATTCTTCGACGGGATCGAGCGGAGCCTGAAAATGGGGTTAATTCGTGCCTCGTTGGATAAATTTATCCTCGAGCCAGATTGAGACCTGACCCTGCTAAATACCAATTACGTCGTACGAAACGGCTGATTTTTTATCTTTATACATTATTTGCTTCATTCCATTTAATAGTTCACTACCGCATTAAATTCTCGAGGGGTTCAAACTCTCTTGGTTATGTATACATACTGTGCACGTAACTGTCTCTCTCTCTATCTCCTCCCTCTGTCTCTCTCCTCATCCTGGCTTGTACCTATGTAGTAGCTACTACTCCTAATATAGCTTCATACACCCAGAGGAGTGTTTTACCCAAGTTGGTTCGTTCCGGTCTGTCGCTATTTTTCCGATAGGCTCTTAACTAATGCAAGTGGTACGCCGTAAGTACCAGGGGAAAATTCCATGACGATAAAAATTCAACGGGTGGAGAGTTTGCCCTCTGTTTCGTTAGCAAGAGGAAGACAACGGAAAAAGAGAATCTTTTATTTATTATCTGACATGTATATACCGTAGCTCCTGGGAAAGTAACATCGTATACCTATATTTATGGTCCGTCGGAGGAATCGAGAGTCTGTGCTGTAAGTAGCTGTAGACATTGGATTTTTCGTATTTAGATATTCATACTCTGAGAACCCACTGTTCGCGCGTTTTCTTTCATGTGTAATAAGGACTTTCGTTTCTTTTTAGGGGCGAATACTTGGCACGTTCGCGTCAACTATCGAATCAGCTTTTTACGAGTAACGCTAAGCTCTTAGACAGCGAAGAAGGGGCCTTATATGGTTGTAGGGTGCCCCCCCCCCGCCGCTCTACTCCACCCACGCTTCCGCCTATCGAAATGAAATTTCTACTTTTGCCAGAGTACCTTTCCCTCCCTTTCCTCCCGTTCTGTCCCAGTCGTTTGACGTCGATATGCTCGCTGAGCCCTTTTTTTTCTTCTCAACCAACATCGAACGTTTCAGCTACGCGCAATTCCCAACCTACGCGATGTTTTGATTTCGGAATCGCAGGATTTCGGGGGCTTTTACTTTCTCGATTTCGTGCTTGCGCCTTACGACACGTCCGATCGCTACCTTAATCCTAAGGTAATCCTTTAACTTTTCGTGGCCTAGCTGTTTTCGACTATCGATATATCGTTATCGGTATACGTACGACCTTCCTCGCCTTATATCTTGCCTGATATATATATATATATTTACAATATATATTGTAACGTAACTCTTTTCCTTAACTCGACACCGATAGCAAAGCATCCGAGAACGAACTACCTTCGAGAAGCAACCTACGTTACCTTCGGCCGTCCACCCGTCATTCGTGCATCCGCAAGCCAGGCGGCCGCCAGCCAATTCTTTTTTCACCGGGAAATGACGAGCCGGTATGAACTGGGAGTTGGGGTGGAACAGGCCCAACTCCACCAAAACGAGAACTCTGACGGAACCTATCAGACGAGGCGATAGCTTAACCGATCCTGTCGATTTTTGGGGTCGCGTAAAATCAACAAACGCAACTGGATGCACAAATGGGAGCGGACGGTTACGGAAATGCACGGCCACTCAGGCTGCTAGGTCGAGCTAGACAGGGTCGGAGTAAGAGTCCGGCAAATAGTGCGAGAGACAGAGAGCGACGAATCGAGAACGTAGCAGAACGAATCGGAGCTGTAAAATCGAAATCCCTTCACCAAATAATTAATTCGGAGCACTCACCGGAGCTGGTGCAGCTGATCCGTGGAGGCCGAGAACTGCATCCAAAGGACACTCTGGTGGACACTGCACTAAGGCACAGCACTACACCTCCGGAAGACTCACAGGAATTCATAGAATTGCCTGGAGATCGCGAGAACAACGCGAGAACTGCACGAATCGAGAACTTGCTATACCGTAGCGAAACACGGCAAGAAAAACTATCAACAGACAGCACGGGAGCGCGAGGCAGCCCGTGACACGTCGGTCGGTGCCCCGGGACAGACTGCTTTGACAATAGCCAATTGCCAAATCCGAGAACTAATCATTCTGATTGGTCGAGAGCCTTATAACCGATAACTCTTCCATCTCCTTCCAGTCGTCCCTTTAAACCAAATCGAGAGCGTTCCTTAACGAATCGGTACGTAACTTCTGGAGATCCTCCACGGCCGCTTCCCCAGGGCATCGGGCGACAGCTGGACACCACATCCTTAACTCGGGCAGGAGGTTCCTCTCCTGCCCTTAACCGTGTCACAACTATCTTCGCCCGCTCTACAGCCCTTTGTCCATCTCCAGCGGGGCGCCGGTATCTCACCCGGGCTTCTGCCGGTCCGTGCAGACGTCTCCGCCGTGTCCTCTCCTGCACCAGGCAACTCGGTACGTCGAGACTATCTCCCCACGGCAGATTCGAGCACCTCGACCTCAACTAAACAATAACGGAATCTTACGAGAGCCTTGACATAACTGTACGAATCAACCCGAGAGCGTAGCTTCTGAGCAGGGTGGCGACCGGACGGGAACCAGAAATCAAGAACGTTATCTGTATCGGTAACCGGAGCCGCCTTGGGAATGTGATTCGAAAAATCACGTTACAATATATATATTCGCAACTTCTACGTTACTCTTATCCATTTATTCCCTGACACAAATATGGATTCTAATACATCTGCAACTTTTTTTCGATATAAATTGTTCACGTTT